GCGGCCGCGCGGCCGGTGCTCCGCCGGGACGGTGCCCAGTCACGGCCCTGACTCAGCTAAAGCCGGCGTCGGCGGCTCCACCCTTTCAGCGCCGGCTACGGTCGCACTTACCGGCTGAGGTGATCATGGCTGCGTCCCGCACTCGCCCGCTCCTTCGCTCGCCGCTCCGGCCGCGCCGTGTATCTGTCAGCTCCGGGCTCGCTCGCTCCGCCGCGCCTCCTGGCTCCCCCGGTGCCCAGCTCAGTCAGTCGCCTCCTCAGGCCGCCGGCTCGCTTCTCACCCAGGACCCCGCCCGCCCCGGGGCTGCCCGCTGCTCTGCCTGTCTCCCGGCGCGATTTCTCCCCCAGCCTATGTCTTCCGTGCGATCGCCGCCGCTCTGGCTCGCTCGGAAGGATGCACGAAATGCTCCATGATCTTCTCTAACCTCCCTCGAGGTCAGCACACCGCAGGAGTGGGAACACTCTTCCGCACCTAGGATCAGGCTTCAGAGTAGTCACTCCTAGAAAAAGGACCCCACCGCCACCCGCCATTGCCGAAAAAAGTGGGGGAGCGTCGTGGAGAGGTGCTCGCGGGACTCACAGCGCCACCTGCTGCTTCGGCAGTCTCCCTGCAGCGCCCCTCCAACCCCAGTCACGCCTTCAGGGGTCGGGACAGGGCAAGGAGCGTTTTCTTACAAAAGTGAGTTTCAAAGTTTTTTAAAAGCCCAGCTTCCAAAATAAACCCTCACAGAAACAATTTATTATCATATTATAATGAATTCCTAAGTAATCACTGGTTCATAATAAAGTTGAACCAGGAAGGTTTTTATTTACATCTGGATGAGTTACTACTGTACATGGTTTAAAAGTCACAAATATAAAAAGATACACAGTGAAAAGTATCCAAAAAAAAAAAGTTTTCCATTCTTGTCTTCATCTGCCTAGTTCCTCTCTCCCTCCACAGCAACAGGTTCCTGATTTTTATTGTATCTAATTTGAAATGGCAATTGTGATCGCCATCTGCAGTCTTATACCAGTTTCAATAGACAAAGTACTGAAAAAGCCTGGACAAAGATTAGTGACAAATGGTGACATTTTTAAGCCACTAGCCTTACACTATCAAGCTACTGTTCAATTGGATAGTGATTAGTAAAGCTCATTTCTGAGGCCTTCTCAAAACAATGTAACGTAGTGGCCTTCTCAAAACAATGTAATGTAGTGACAGGAGCCAATGGCAGGAGGTGTGCCTGGGGAGGGATGACTAGGATGATTGGCTCCTGCCACTACATTACGCATACATTTGGCTCACGCATACATTTGAGTGTATGCGTGAATTTTTCAAAAAAAATCGTATTCTTAAGCTATGGTTGTTAAAATACATTAAGTATAATTATTAAACACTTGAAGAACCTATAGCTCAGACTGAAAGTCACTGCCCTAGGAGGTGTGCAAGAAAAACAAACAGATTGAGTGTTTGTGAGTATTATTTTACAGAGGCACTTTGGCTGATCCCTCACATAAAGACACTTGTGTGCCCCAAACTCCTAAAAGAGTCACATACAAATGCTAACAGGTAGTGGAAATGAGTGAAGTGGTAAGAAAGTGTTAGTTCAGCAGGATGGTGAATGACAACTGGCGCTTAGTGTCAGAGAGGCAGTAGGAAGTGGTGGTGACTATGACAAATGAAGAGGGATGCCCCATCTAAAGACAGCAGTGGCTAATCAGCTCCTACAGTGTTGCTGCTCAAAAATTCAGGGCTACTGTTGTGAGAGCTTATGATTTTTCCCAACAAAGTCAGAAATTGGAATTTTGCGTGAAATTTTCTGATTTTTAAATATTGGCAAATTGGGTGAAAGGGGTGGAGAGGTACATACTTCCAGTTATAAGATAAATAAGTCCTGGAGATATAATGTACAGCAATGATGACTTACAGTTATACTGTATATTTGAAAGTTGCTAAGAGAGTAAATCTTAAGTTTTGATCACAAGAAAAAACTCTATGTGCAGTGATGGATGTTAACTAACCTTAATGCGATAATCAGTTCACAATATCTACATATACCAAATCTTTCTATTATACACCTAAACCAAATACAATGTTACATGTCAATTGCATAAAAAAAAAAGATAAGACAAGAAAAAGAAAATGTTGGTGACTAATTCAAAATGTCTTAAAACAGAGAAGTGGCCAGTTTGTCACCTCTGCTCTTCGAAATGAAGACATTCTTTATGGGAGGCCAACCATGCCTCTTGCTTGGGTACGCTGTGCTTGTAACTGTCACGACCTTATCTGAGCCCTTTGGGAACCCTGCGAGAGGCCCCTCTCTCCTCAGAGATTCAGCTGTTCCAGTCCTGCGGTTTCTGCTTCTTCATTCCATTCTGCACGCTTTAGTCAGAGCAATCTTTTTCTTTTTCTTGCTCTTCTTCTTCTTCTTCTTCTCCTCCTCCTCCTCCACCTTCTTTTTTTATTTTAGCGAATGAAGGTACTGAGGATTGAACCCAGGGTCTCGTGCATGCTAAGCATACTTTCTACCACTGAGCTATACCCTTCCCCAGAGCAATTGTTTTTCAAAACTCAACTCTGACCACTGCCTCTGCTCCTTGAAACTCCCAATTCCCATCTTGGGCTCTATTCTTATGCTTCATTCTGCCATGTTTCTGTACACAGCCTTCTCCTCACTCCCTGTTCTCCGTGTGGAAGTACCCTTCCTCCAGTTGCTATGGACAAGGTGGTGGCCCTAACATGTACCCCTGCAGCCCTGCTCTCTCCCCAGAGCACCAGACTCACACACCTACCAGGAATCTCTACTTGATGCTCCTTAATTCAGCGACCTCAGAGCTGCACACACTGTCAGCCACTCCACCCATGTGTGTCTCCTGCCTTGATCTCACTGTGATGAAGGGCATCCATCAGCTACTGAAGCAGGGCCCCAAGGGGTAGGGGGTGGTTATGCCACTGACTGTTCTGCCCCCCTCACCTAGTCTGCACCAGATCTGGTCTAACATCTCTCCCCCCAGCCTAGCCTCCTGTCTCACTCCATTACCCACTGGTCGGCTCCCTCTCTTCTTTCCCAGCTGCAACAACTTCCAGCCGCCTTGACTTCCTGCTCACCGTCTCACATTTTTTCAGTCCATACTTCACAGCCAGTCTGCAGCAATACCAAAAACAAGGAAGACAAGGACTCTCTCCTCCAAGCTCCTCCAGGACTTTCACCCAACCCTGCTCACCCTCCATCTTTATGTCCCGTCCCTCTGCCCTGGGTTGCCACACTCCTGCCATCCCAGAGCAGCTGTGCAGCCATGGTGCCTTGTCTCTGACATTGGTACCTTCTCTCCCCTCTGTCTTCAAGGCCTTCTTCCCCTCACCCTCAGCTAACGAAACTTGCCCCAGTCAAGCAGCACCTCCTCCAGGAAGCCTTCCTTGACTACCCCACCATGTGTCCCCTTATAGCCTTTACCCCACACAGCTATAATCATGTATCCTTCCCTATGTCCCAACTGGACAAGGAACTACTCAAGAGCACAGTCAAATCTTATTCATCTCAGTGTCCCTTATAGTAACTAGCACAGGTTCAGGCACAAAGAATGTGCTCAATAAATGCTTAGTGGATGAATGAACGAACACAGCGTCAGTTAGCTATTGGCACAAGGCTAGAACTCAGACCTACGACTCGGAAACCCTTGCTCTCTCCAAGACTATAAAACGAACTCCATTTTCAGAGAGGGTTTAAGACGTAGTAAAATCACAGAATTCTTACCTAGTGCTCTGTTTATAAACAACTATCTCCCTCCAAATTTAGGAGTAATACGAAAGATCTCCAGCCCACACAAGGTGAGCTGCGGGCTCAGATAAGTCCGGGCTGGGCCGGGGCCTCTCTCAGGGTGAAGGCAGGAAGCCGTGATCAGGCTTTTCCTTTGCGGGCGTGCCCGGCATTCAGACCGAAGCTCCGCGGGAGCACCTCCCTGACCCGCGCGGCGCCCTCCAGTGGTCACAGCGCTCCCCGGAAGGCGGAGATCGCGGGAACCGGCGAGCGCCGTGTGGTCACCCGTCCCAATCCCACCCTCCAAGCCTTCTGCCATTTAAATCCTGGGTCTTAGAAGGGCTCGAGCCTCCTGTCAAGAACTGGACTTGACTGGTTTTTGAGCTGCTGAGTTATGAAGTGGGAAGTGCAGGCGTCGATGCCAAGACGCCCGGGATCAAATCCCTGTTCTGCCACTTAGCTACACAGTGGTGCTGGGGTCACATGAGCCTTGCTGTAGAGGAGGCGAGTCCACCTGCCTGGCAGGGCCGCTTGTAAGGGGAGGTGCTCTAATCAAGGGCTTGGCACAGAGCCACGCGCGATAAAACTGGCCAGAGGCTAGTGATGACTTCATGTAAAGCACGCAGGGCACATGCTTTATTATTATTATTATTATTATTATTATTATTATTAATTATTTTTACAGTAAAGGCATTTGATCATGGAGCAGAAACATGAAACGCAGACAGGGACGGGGCCTCCCGCGTGTAGGTGCTAGGTCGGAGGGAAACGCCTGTCGGGGACTAGAATTGGCTTGGATGGACTAAGGCACGAAAGAACCCAGGAAGCCATCAGACCCAGGCTCTCTTCCCTCTAAGGACAGTGTCCAAGGGCCCAACGCTTATCTTGGGGAACCAGAAGCCTGCCCTGGAGGAGCTGATGTTGGAAGCCACTGTCTCCTCGCGGGGGTGGGAAGGGTCCTGGATAACCAGCCAGATCTGGGCAAGTGGCCAGGGGTAGGAGGAGCCACAAAGAACCCCCAAGACAGGTCTCTTGCAATCTTGCTGCCCTATCCCGTGGCTACTAGCCACAGGTGGCCACTTGAAATGTGACTAGTGCAACCCAGGAACTGATTTTAAATTCAATTAAATTTTTATTTAATTGAAATTTAAAGATACCTGATCAGTCACTGGAAAACTTTTAAATGTATTTGGAACAATTTGAGGATATAAATTTATTTTTTCAACTATAAAATTATGATATCTGAGTATTTTGGATAAAAATTTTGTATCTGAATTGGGCTGTAAGTGTAAAATTCTCAGAGGATTTCAGAGATGTATGTCTTGTTAAAAATTTTAAATATTTATAGTTGATAACATCGTGGACATACTAGGCTAAATAAAATGTTATTAAAATTAATTTCACCTGTTTCTTTTGATTTTTTTTTCCTAATGTTTCTAGAAAATCTAAAGCTACATATGTGCCTGGCATCAGTTCCTCTGAGACAGGGCTGGTCTAGACCCACCCCAAGGTCTTGGTCCCTCTGCCCTCCCATTTAGGGCTGGCCCTTTGGCCTGCTTCACGGTCATGGCTGCTCTTTGTCAGTGGCACGTGCCGGGCCACACCAGACTGGGGGCATAGGCAGAAGGTAAGACCCCCTCCTGTCGGGGAGCGGGGGCCTGGAGTGACTGCCCTGGAGAGAGCAGTGCCCCTGGGACGGTCAGGGTGAGGGCTGGGGTTAGGTTAACGATCTGAGGCAACACCCTGCTCTGAGACCTTGTTAACCAGCGAGAGCGAGAAAGAGCTCACGTGACAAGACGGAGACCCAGTTTCTACCACCAGGACTCAGTCACAAGGACTAAGCTAAGTGCCTGATTACTCCAAGTGCAGAGCAGGACAGCAAAAAGCGTGACTTACAACTTAAGATCTGAATTTCTGCCTGAGTATTTCACTGGTCAAGGAACAGCCAGGCCTGGTCTGCATTTGCAGCAGGAGCCCTGGCTGGCACTGGGCAGCTCACGGAGGAGGCCAGGCAGGATTCTCGCTTTTGCCAAAGCCCTGGTCCCACAGTGGCCCTGGTGCCCTGTCCCACACCACGGTCTCTTGGAGTTGAATTCTGAGATCCTTGTGAACCACAGTATGGCCCAGTGGGGCAGTCTCTGCCCTGCTCCATGTTAGACAGCCCCATAGAGAAGGCAACCAGAGGGCTCTGGCTCAGGGCCCAAAGGCATCTGAGGGATATGTGTAATATTCTGGTTGTCACCCTTGCCTTGGACCTCATTTCCCTTTGAACTCCAAGATTACACAAACGGCAGGCAGCCCAGGCCAAATTCCACGTCTGTCCCAATCTAGATCCACTAACACACAAAATCGGGTCAGAGTGGGGTTACACAGGCCTTGGGTACAAAATAACCGATATCCTCTACTGTGTTGGCTGTGTTTGCCACTCAAACAGGACAAAGTGCAGCCTCCTCACCACAGGCAACAGCTCTGCAGCGTGGTTCTGCTACACTTTGAAGTACAGGCCGTTTTCAGGTTAACGTGGCTGCTGTCAACCTTCCAGCCTTCCCCAGGAAGGCGGGGTCCTAGGTCGTCTGCCCTGGGTAAGAGGGGTGTGTTTCGATCACAGGTTTGGGGGCCTCCGTCTTTGGCCTGTTGCAGGTTTGCCTTACGGTGTTAGTTTGACAACCAAGGGACTCTTATGCAGAAAGTCTTGCAGACAAACTCTTTGAGAGGAGAGAAACTGATCCACGTCCCATAAAAGGTTCTCTGAGACTCCATTGAGACTGTTTCATCTCGTTTAACGTTCACATGGGTACACACACACTAATAAATACCAAGTTAAATGCTATTAAAAAAAACCAACCTCTTTTCAAATATTTACTTATACTTTCCAGGCTACATGTTTTCCAGTCCCAGCCAATTTTCAGTCCAGACGATTCCAGAAGTCCTGCCATTTGCCCAGATGCCCTGCTCCCAAGGGTCCCTACAAGGGGCATTTTATGAGAATAAAGGGGAAGATCCATTCTGTTTTCGATTAGACAGCAGAGGTACTGCTCGGTTTTATTAGATATTAGGAATTACTGATTCACGTCGGAGTCACATAACTGCTGCCATGTTAGAGAGATGAGTACTCAAGAGTCCAGACAGGGGCCTTACCTGGAGGCCCCCAGCTGATGGCTCCTGGTACCACTGACCTAATTCAGGGTTTCTGCCCTCAGAGGGGCCCACCCCAACCTTCATGCCATATAAAGGTCCTTAGAGAAGAGACCCAACACCAAGGCCAGCCCTCCTGGCACCGAACTCTTCTGTCTGCTACAAGACAGCAATGACACTGTTCCGAAAAGGATGCAGCTTAGCTTCGCAATTTCTCAAGGAAGCGAAATCGCTTCCTTGTCTCCTGCTGAGCATTCAGGAGGCAGAACCCACATCGCAGTAAAGAAAGACCTTCCCTCTTCAACTATTCACAGGAATACTGAAGGTAATTGAAAAACAATGTGCAAACTACCCTTTACACCAGAGTCTTGCAAACTCACCTGTCCCCCAGGGCCAGGACCATGCAGGTGGCGTGTATGAATGAAGAGCTGTAGAGGGTGGGATAGGTCAGTGGGAGGGGGGCTCTAGTTGGCTGGGTGGGTGAGGGAGAAGTAGGAAACTGGAGAGGAAAACGTGCCCCATCCTTCACCCAGAAAACTAGCTTGTTTACGTGCAACTGCCCAAGCTTCAAATATTGGCAACAACTAAAAAGATTTCTAAACACAGCAGAGGCTGCTGTCTTGTGACTTCTGCCTTAGATAATTTCCTAACTTAAAAAAAGCTTCCTCCCCTCACCAAATAATAAAACTCCAATCAAATGATTACAAAGAAATTAACAGAGAAATAGAAAAATGTAGCAGCTTCAAAAATACCAGTCTCCCCATTTAAAATAAAATCAACAGTAATTTACTGAGTCCATGCCTATGTAGGAAGAAGTCAGCTGGGTCCTTCCTGTCATCCTTCCTGCCCTCACACTGATACGGGTTAGGCTCCCTATTAGAGAGGATAAACTGAGGCACAGGGCAGGGAGGGCTCCTCTTAATCACAAGGAGCCCCTTGGCCACAAAGGTTTCCCATTTCCCATTTGGTCACCATGATAGCCAGGGCTGAAATAACTCATGCAAGTTACACAGTACCTCGTAGAGCGCTGGGCAACTAGTAGGCACAACTGCATGTCTGCTGAATGAGTCAAGCAGGAGTGAATGGATTTGGCCACCTCCCTTAGATAGTGTTTCCTCCTAAGGAAAATCAGGAGCTGTCCTTGCCATTCCAAAGACTGGATGTCTCCAGGGGTTAGGTGATGAAAACAAGGGAGGTAATTCAGAGTTCCCTCTCCGAGTAAACAGATAGATGGACTTCCTGGCTTTTAAGGGAACATCACTGACCCTGACTGACTCATAAACAGAGAAAAAAGGGCTCTGGTCTGAGTCTCCTTTGACCTTGGGTTAAGACCTGAGATCAAGAGCAAGCCCCATGCCCTTGTAATCCACACCCATAACTTTCCTCCTGTTTGGTGCCATGGTTAGTTCCCAGCATCTTTATTTTCAAAGAACTTGTTACAGAAAGTCAATGTCAACATGAGGAAGAAAGACAGCCCTTTCTTCTTCCAGGTGTGCAAAGCTGTTTCTGCCTTGGGCCTGCAGCACACGGACCGTCTTGGCTCTGCCCAAGAGGCCCCCAGGGCAGCTCTGGGATCCGAGGTCCCAGGAAGCCCAAACCTCTTGTTCTGAGGGACTCTTCCTAGAATTTGACCGGGAGGAGATTGTCTCACCTAGAGTTTGTCAAAGGGGCCATGATTGACATTTTGAGTGGAACAAACTTGTGCTGTTGGAGATTATCCTGCACACTGTGAAACGCCTACTAAATGTCAGGGGTTCCCCTCAGTCACAGCGACTTTCCCAACACACACACACACACACACACACACACAAATTTCCAGTGCTGCCTGGAGGAGCCTGGTCCCTGGCTGAGAGCCATTGGGCTAGTAGCCCCCTTGTGCGTTTGAGAAACAGAAGCCCCAAAGGTTGAATGACAGGTCCAAGGCCACCCCCGCCAGATCTGATGATTTCTGATCCAGAGTTCTTTCCAGCTGCACTTGAAGTGGTGGATGCTCATGCAAACAACTGTGGGGTACCACAGCACCACAGCACCTCAAAGTAGACAGCCATCTGTCTCAATGGCACAGAGAGAAAAAATAACCCCACTATAACCAGAGTATGCAAATATGAGGTGGGGGGCAGGTTTCCAGAGGATACACTTTCCCAGGTCCTGCTTAGCTTGCTAAATCCTGCTGCCTGGCTGGCAAAACTGTCAATCCAACAGCCCCCCTGGCAGGTGGCAGGTGGGGCCTTCATAGTTACCATCATCCCAAGGTCAACATGGCGGCATGGCAGCTCAGTGAGGAGCCAGCCCCCAGTCTGTAGGTTAGAACCAGGGCAGCCAGAGGACCAGCCTTCATCTCAAGTCTCCAGCGGGCTCAGCGGGAGAGGGAGCAACTCCATCACAGGCTCTCGACCCCTTTGCAGGATCGTCACAGTCTCCATTGGGGTAGATGGCTGTCAGTGCCAGCTCCTCTTCAGGGTCCTGGAAGTTATCTGGAACACAAGAGAAGGAACCATCCAATCACAAGATAAAGTTTATGAGTGGGTAGGCTAAGAATGAAAGGGAAGAAGTTGGCCCCAGTGACTATCTACTTTAAAAACACACCAAAACACTATAAAAAATCTTCTGTACATACCCTTTGACCCAGCAATTCCACTTCTAGGGTTTTACTCTAAGGAAATAATTAGTGGAACTGCTAGAGTCATCTTGCTGCCAGCCTCAGGATGAAACAATGCTGAGGCAGGCCCAGCAGAAAAGTCAAAAACCTTGGTCCCTGATGGGGTCACTGGCCCCTGAATCAACCAGCCCTGAAGCTAACTCAACCTCTAGACTATCTTTTAGGTGAAATAATGTATTTCCTTGCTGCTTATGCTAGTTTGAGACATGGTTTCTCTACCTGCAGCTGAAAACGTCCTAATTTGATGTCCGACAAAAGGACTGGCTGAGTACACTCTGGCTCACTCACATAATGGGATTCAGGCATTAAAAATGATGGATAAAATCCCATAGAACTAACTCAATAAAAAATGTAAAAAAAAAAAATCCCATAGAACTAAACACACACATACAAGTACAAGTAAAATTTGGGAAATCTGAAAAAGGTCTGTGGATTGTTTCAATGTCAATATCCCAGTTGCGACATTATCCTGCAGTTTTGCAAGATGTTACCATGGGGGAATACTGGGCAAAATGAACACAGGATCTCTTTACATGATTTCTTACAACTGCAGGTGAATCTACAATTATCTCAAAAAAAAAAAAAAGATGAAAGATGTTGACGTATAATTATTGCTGTGGAATATTGCAGCCACAATACGTTATTGATAAAGAAAGGTTCTAAAACAGTGTATGTAAATGTATGTATGTATTTATTGTAGATATTATAAATGCATAAGTATACTCCAGTCATGCAATTTGCATCTTAATACATTCACTTCTGTATGAGACTAGACACTTACATGCTACAAGGGGAAGTTATCAAAGATTTACATGAAGTTGTGTATGAAGCCTTTGTTTTTGTTTCCCTTTAGTTTCCAGATATATCCAAAATGACGATGGAGAGGTTGAAGTTATCATTTTTGCAATTAAATATTTTAAATACGTGATGCATTTTGCAGATGATTTATATATTACATAGAAGTGAATTTATTAAAATTTAAAAAGTATAAGGGGACATAAATAGACAAACAGAACAGTCTACCACAATTATAGTGGTAGTTACCTTTGAGTGATGGGATTAAGTGAATTACTTTTAATATTTATCTTCCTTCTTTTGTATTTTTTGAGCTTTCAATTGTGTAGGCAGAATTTCAGGATGATTCTCACCCCTTGGTGAACTCATCCTGCCTAACCCCCTCCTCTGAGTGTGGGTGGGACCTGTGAATATGATAAGATAGTCACGCCCTTGATTTGGGTATCTGATAAAGGGGATGGAGAGTCACTCCTGTGATTGTGTTATGTTAGAGGAGACTTGTGATTTCTCCTGCTGACTGAAGGGCCTGTGAGGGAGGGAGCTGTGGGGCCTCTTGGAGCTGACAGCCTGCAAGCCGGGGGAACTCAGTGCTCCGGTAGGGTGCAGTCTGCTTCTAGCTGGGCTCTGCTTCTGGTCTCTCCCTGCTCCTGCAGTCCAGTCACCTCTCTAAACACACCCCTAATCTGCACACCCTTGTTACAGAAGTCACCAGTGGCTACAGAGACTTGAGTCCAGGGCCCCGTTTTGGTTCCAACTCTCCTCTTCAGCCATGCCCCATCCCCCAACCCGGTCTTCTGCACCTCACCCTGGGGCATTCCTGACAGGGGTCCCTTTTCTGAGCTTGGCATCATGCTCGCCAGCCTTGTTCATGGTGCTCCCTCTCCAAATCTTCCCACTTAAGAAAACCTCCCTAGCCCCCAGCTCAAACGTCACTTGCTCTGTGAAACTCCCTGGATCCTCAGGGAGAGACAGAATGCTTTTGGCTTCAGATGCTCTACCACGTGTGTCCAACACCTGTGGTACAGCCCTGCCCACACCGCCTTTCTTAGGCAGAGACTCCTGGGGCAAGAGCCCTACAGACCGAGCCTGGGTGCCGGCTGCCCAGTGGTCCGGGTGGGCACCTCACATTACCCATCCTCATGCCCCACACGTGGCAAGTGCTCTATGGATGTCGGTCTACTTCAGCCTACTGTCCCTGTGTGCATGTGACCACAATTCCAAGCCCCAGCCCTCAGGGTCCAGGAGACCAAGGAGGTGACACACTCACCCTGAGCTGGGCCACTGGGGGAGGTGGCATCTGGGTCCTTCCCCCGGCTCCAAGGACCCCAGGAAAAGCATGCCAGCAGTGCTGGGAGGCCAGGTCTATCCCAGGCTCCTTCTGCTAGAAAGAACACAAAGTCCCAGAGGCATGGGTCAGATGGTGCTCGACATGACTGAGAGACTTTTCTGTTCAGCAAACCAAGAGCTTCAACTGTCAGCTGCCTTAGTTTCAACTGTCTGATTAAAAAAAAAAAAAAGATTCTGATTTGCAAAAGGGAGTGGAGTTTTTGTACTTTAAAAAAATGAGCTGGAAAAAAGAAAGCTAGCTTTATATGTATTACCTCATTTCATCTTCACAAAAACCCTATGTAGGTATCATGTCAGGGAAACTACAGTAACAAAAATGACATGAAATTAATTACAATTACAGAGCACTGAAGAAAAAACTCAAAGAGCAGTTACTTCCTCCCTGATTTTTAGTTCAAACTCTTTCTTAATAGGAATAGATTTCATCTTTTTTGATAATCACACACAAAATAATTGCATATTGATTTGAGTTTCCTTATTATACCACCTCAGTTATCTGGAGATCACTTGAGATCCCCAACCATCTGGGATAAGGTTAACTGGAACAAAGTTTTGAAAAAGGACTCCAGGCAGCCAAAACACAGAAAGTCCTTGTTCATGATTCTTTTCTTGGGGCCTATTTACTCTTAATTTGCACCCAACTCTAATAAGACTGGAGCCTTACTTTTCAACCCAAAGACAGCTGTATTAGGGATAAAATGGGTAAAAGGGCACTGCCAAGAGGCAGGCAACCTAAAACTATAAGAATAGCTATCAGAGAGTGAGGAAAGAGATAGAGAAACTTTGCAATTGCTAGCAAAACCTTAGCTACATGCATCTGTGGTGCAGCCTACTGCAACAGCCCTGAAGAAATTACTGGACCATGAGTTATAATTACTCTCATGACCTTTAGTCATTAATGAAAGGCCTCATGTCCAGTATGTTTTTTATAGAAGTACAATCAAGTTTAAGGCAGTAGAGAATGATTCCCTTGCAAAATGTTAAGAAGTTTTAAGTGTTAGTGTTTAATGGGAGTCAAGGATTCCGCATGCCAAGCAGGGTGTGGGGAAATGGGAATACAATGGTTATTAAACTCACAAGGGAAAGTGAAAAAACCACGTGGTAAGAACTTGGAGAGCAGAAGCAGATTCTGGGATTTCATTTGTGAACTTGCAAATGAGAGCAGGGGGGTCAGGGAAGGCTTTCTGGAGGAGGAAGTCCAGTTCTGAATGAAGGAAAAGGAGAGTGGAAGAAAAGGCTTTTCATTCTGAGGCAACTGCAATGTATACAAAAGCTTGCAGGCCAGAACAAGCTTGGCTCTGGGGACTTGAAAGTTGTTCCCTGGGCATAGGAGATGACTAAGAGAGTTTAAGGGCTCAGAAAATTTTCTAGGCACCAGTTGATTAGGGGGAAAGAATTTCCCCATGCAGCCACGACAGCAAAGGTGCTGGCATTGACATTCAAAATGACAATCCACCTCAGGACCTTCTCCAGGGCTTTCAGGATGGTTGTTGAGTTTCAAATTTGGCGGGTTTCCTCACAGACTCAACAGAAGGGTTGTGGGAAGGGATTGGGGAGGTTAGGGCAGGCTCTGCAGCTGAGAGGGATGGTCTTCACCTAAGCAGGCCAGGCTGGCAGGTAAGTCTGTGACATTTGTGACATCAGAGGTACCAGGTCTCCTTGCTGGAACCCCACCACCACCTGCACCCCCACCCCCCCTCCCTTGGCACGGTTGCTGGATTAACACACCAGTGCCAAAGAAGGCAGAACACAGGCTCTATCTTCATTAACACTTTATCTAGAAGGGTCTGCAGAAGCTGGAAGGCTTGGAGGGCGGGAGATGCTGGAGGGCGTCAGGTGCTGGAGAGGAGCTGGGGAAAGAAGCTAGACTGTAAAGGATGCCCCTGCATTCCCCTGCTTTGCCAGATGCAACTGTACTTAACGTCCATATTTTAATCCCGGGGCACTGGAAAGGTTCTGTAAGACCTTGTATACCAGGATAGAGGAGATTCTGACCCTTCTGCTGATGGCAACAGTCACCGGGTCTGGGAAGAGACCCTCATTCCCCACTCCACACTTCAGGAGAGTGTGAAGGGAAGAGAGGAAGACACCGCAGTGGGTGCACAAGCTGGAGGAGTAGCCAAGGGGGACTCGGAAGTTCTGTGCCCTCCGTCCCTTACATCCTTTCCCCCCAGCTCTAAGTCCCGGCATCCTTGCCTTCTTCCTCTGACCCAGAGGCTCTTCCACTGTGAGCCTGCAACGTCGCACCCCTAGCTCCGTGCCTCGAAGCTCCTAGTACCGGAAACCCCCCTAGTCCCAGTTCTGTCCTCCTCCCACCTTGAAACTAGCGCATCCCAAGGCCTTCCTATCTCCTCCCCGTCTCTTCCTTTCCCCCCAACTCCCAGATGTTAGCCCAGCTAACCCTCAACCCTCTCTCCAACAACTTCTCCTGACTTTTGCTTGTCCCCTCCGTTTTCCTAAGCCTGTGTATTTCCCATGCACTCAGGACCCTCCCAGGACAGACTTGGCGCCTTGCTCAGGGCCCGCTCCACGCTAGCTGGGAGGCCTCGTGCTAGGTACCGCCCCTCTCCCGGCCTCAGTTTACCTCGGTGTACAATGAGGGTGCTGGCCTAAAGAGTTCCAACGTGGGGGCCTTCCCCCAGCCGCCGCCCGCGGCTCGCCCTCGCCCTCCCGGGCCCCGCGCCTCCTCACCTGGTCGCGCAGGCCCGGCGGCTTGCAGGGCCCTGCAGGCGGCCGCCTGGACGGCCAGGCTGGAGGCCGGGTGGCCGGGGCAGTAGGCGACCGCCTGCACCGGGCCCCCTGCCTGGCGGCCGAACACGGTGCGTAGCAGCGCCTCCAGTAGCCGCAACTCCGGGGCCACCGAGTCCTCCGCCTCGGCCTCGGCCACCAGCACCCCAACCAGCGCCGCACCGGCCCGTCGCCGCCCGCGCACGTCCCGCAGCATCTCCCGCAGGTGGCGCCGCGGCTCCCGGGCGGCCAACGACGACGCGCGGCACAGCACGAAGACCAG